GGGGGGGGGGGGACGCAGACCGCGGATGGGCTTGTCCTCCTTCTCTTCCTCCTTGGTCTTCCTCTGATCGGCGCCTAAGTAGTCCGGCATCTTGCCCGCACTGCCCGGACGCATTGCGCAAGCGCCGCAACCCTCGCCCCGGAAGCATTACGCAGCGGCTCCCGACTTCCGGTTATCGCCGGCCTCTGCACTCGAAGGGGGTGGGGGGATACCCTGCACTTCCGCCGGAAGCGGGGGGAGGGGGCAGAGAGAACCCGCTGGGTGTGACTGCAATCCGCTTCCCCGTCAGCACTTCCGGTCGCGGATTGTGGGCCGCCCCCTGGCGGCAGCGGATCCACGCTCCCCGGCCGGGGCTTGTCCCTGTAGCTGCCTTGGCAGCGTACGTGTCCCTGCCACGCTGGACACGGCTGCTTCTCTGACAGTTGCGGGCGCCCACGTCCCCGTTTGTACTCACACAAGAGGCTACACACAGACATCCCCACCAGGCCCGGGGCTTGAGCCCTGCAGCACGGGGTCCCCACACGCAGGCTCTGTTGCAGCCCAGCTTGGGTCAGCCTGAGCCCCGTGCACTGCATCGTACGGCTCCACAGGCCGGAGCCACCCCCTGGGCCGTTTGACTCCCGCTGGACTGTGCACCGTTGTTGATGCCATGTTGAGGAGTGGGTGAGGCACCTGGCACAGACCCCCGGGTTGAACCCGGCGGCCTCCCCACCTCGGTCTCTTTCACATCCAGGGGTTTTGCATCTTCCCAGCTGCGGCCCCTGACGAAGGGTCAGGCCAAGCCACGAGGCTTCTCCGGGGCCATCCCCACATCTCCGCGTGTTTCTGTCTGAACAAACACCGCTAGGATGTGACGGCAAATGCGGGACATGGCCCTGGCTGCTACTGACAGCATCACTCGCCCGGAGACGTCCCACGATGCAGCGATGTATTGCCCGCTCTGGCACCGACCGAGCCACGTAACCGGGCTCTGATGCCATGGCCTGTCGGGGGGGCTGCTCCTGCCACGCCCCGGCAGCCTCACGTGTAGGCGAACGGGGCAGGTGCACGCAGCGCCACGCTTTATTTGTCCAGCTGGTGCCTGCTGGGCTGTTTTTGCACATTTTCACAATTTTTCAAATGGTAACAAGGCTGTGAAATGTGTGTGCAGAGATCCTGGCTTGCGTGACCATTTGGTGAAATACTTCTCAGCCTGAATGCATCTGCCAGGCCATTGCAATAGCACACTCAATCACCTGCATTGGCCTGGCTCCCGTGGCTGCCAGCTCCGCCCGTGGGCTGCCGGGGAAGACGGGCTGGACACGGAGTGAGGGGGAACGTTCCCGAGTGGGCCCTGTTCTGCTCCGGACAGCGGTTGCAGGAGGGGAGAATTAGCGGGCGCGCCGCTCCAGGGACCCGGAAGCGGCTGCTGGCGGGCGGTTTAGCGGGCGCACCGAGAACCCGGAAGCGGTTGCCGGAGGGAGGGGCGGTTAGTGGGTGTTCCAGGGACCCGGAAGCGGTTGCAGTGGGGAGCGGGATAGCTAGCGCGCCGCACCAGGCACCCGGAAGCGCTTGCCGGGTGTCTCCATGCGCCGGCTCCTGGCAACCGGCGAGCGGAGGCGCGAGAGCC